TATTATTATTATTATTATTATTATTATTATTATTATTATTATTATTAATTGTAGTAGTAGTAGTAATAGTATTATTAGTATTATTACTGGTATTGTATGAATTTTACTTCAGCACACGTTTTTTTGTCATCTTACTCATTTAGCTTGTAGCAACACTTGCTAATTTTAGCTTGTAGCTATGGTAACTTTTTGTTGCCGTTTGTTTATTGTAAGCTTTTTAGCTACAGTTTAGTTAAAATTAACTTTTAGCTGGTGTTTGGTTAATTTTAGCTACATTTTTTATAGATGCTGTATGTTGCGTGTTTAAATTCAGTTTCAGCTTCTTCAAACTAGGGATGGGGCCGATCCGATCCAGTATCGGTATCGGCCTCCAATACCAGCATAATTTACATATCGGATATTTCTGATCCAACCTACCGATATTTCCGATCCATGATGCACGTTGGCTCCAAACTATGGAATGGATTTCCTGAACGGCGGCGTGTCTCATGAGCCCAGAGTAATAAGACCCGCCTCACATTCAGGAAATCCATTTTATAGTTTGCAGCCAGCTACAACGTGAGGACTGAGTTAGCAGCACTGTGGCTAACAGCTAACAAACTTTTCATCTAAACATGTCCGCTGTGTGGAAGTATTTTGCACTAGAAACACAAGAAAACAAGACGGCAATGTGCAATGTCTGCAGAGCCATAGCGCCACATTAAACCGCAGTAAAGTTAGTTTTATGTTGGACATTCAAGCTCTGTGGCTTCAGCGGGGCACTGCTCTTTGCTCAACCCAAAACAGGCAACTCGACCCCGGCCAACCGCGTCCAATCTGCCCCGCTCAATCTGCCCGTCTCTGAGGAGGGACAGACTGAGCGCGGCTGACCGAAATCAGGCTGCCTGCTTCGGATTGAACAAGAAGAAGACATCGCTGAAACCACGGAGCTCGAAGAAGTTGCTAAACTTCATCGTAATTAATGACCAACCACTATCAGTTGTAGAAAACAAAGGATTTCACAGCTTGATACTTGCAGCCAAGATATAGTTTACCCTCGAGGAGATATTTATCAGTACAACAGTACACAATCATAAAAAACATATGATTT